TATATAGCGCACATGAGAGGTGCCGCCAAAACAATACATTGCGCTGACCAGGTGTCAGGGATTAATTAAATCAATTAACAGGATTACAATAATTAATATCAAACATAAATAGAGTATAAAGTAAGTATGAACATAAACCATACATACACGAGTGACGCTGTCCGCCCGACGGGAAAAATAAACAAAAACAGTTTCCCACAATCGTCTCTTAATATTTAAAACTGTTGATTTCATCATCTTTACTGATTTTGTAAAGACTTCTTATTCATTTTGGGGTTTTGGTGTATTTTATTCCATGACATTAGTTTCTAGAATGTTTTCTACATATTTAGGCCAATCCCAAGCCAGTTTAACTTTTTTTGGTATTGTATATTGATTTTTTGAAAACCAGCGGTGTTGAATCCACACTTTATTTTGTAGTTACAACTCGAGTCTTTCCATCCTAAGTCCCCAACATTGCAGGTTCTGTCAGATTTCTATTTAGTACTTTGACTAAAAACTTTCCCAAATTGGTACTGAATACTTTGTATTTTACTGTTAACTTCTCTGCTACCCTGAAACCATATTCCACACCCATAATTCATTGGTGGCATGATTATGCTATGCCATAACACATCACCGTACTCAAATCTGTTAAAAACGGTGTGTTGGTTAATTAGTGATTTTTTAAATAAACTTCAGTAAATTGTATATGATTACTCAGTGTGTTTGATATGGTTATTTCTAAATATTTATATGTTCTACTTTTTTTTAAAGTCAAATTTCCTAGTTTCTCTTTAATGAAGTTTGTAGCCAAAATACATTATCTGTGACTTGGGGATTAGTTATAACTAAGTTTTCATTTACTGGCAAACTGAGCTGCTATATCAAGCATATTTTGAGGTTTATTTGCATCATTAGGTATTAAAGCTACATAATCTGTCCAGCCCTGGAATTATTTGTGTTCCCACCTTCATCCTTTGATTCAGATAACATTTTTGCAAATTTATTTACATATATTTAGAAGAGTAGGAGGCTTGAAACACATCCTTGTTTTACACCTTTACTTGTTTTGAAGTATTCAGTCTCAATATCGTTAAAATTTACCCCATTAAAAACATTCTCATACATGTCATCTAGGATATTCCATAATTGTCCTCGTATTCCTGCTTTCTATAAGGATAATCGCAAATCATCCTTCCAAACTCTATCGAACGTTTTTGAGAAATAGAGGAATATTACAGAAGTAGATTTCTTACTTGATTCCACATCTTCCGTCTTCCCTAAAACATTTTTGAATTTCTTCAATAAATTTTCTTAACTTTGTTTCAATGACCTTTCTTTAATTTTTTGAAATACGAGAATTTAGAGTGATACCTCTGTAGTTGTTTTTGCTTTCAATAAGAAAGGATTTGAAAAGTATCATTAATGTATGGGTTATTGCATCGCCAACATTTCCAATAAACGCATTGACGATTTCATCAGGACCACAAGCTTTTCCAGATTTGCTTGTCAATGAGTGTATTGCTTTTAGAACATCGTCCTTTGTCAAATCTATTATATTGATTACTGGAGAGTTTGCATCGATTTCCTTTTTAAAAATATTATTTCTTATTAAATATAGTTCCTCACATATTTGATCATGAAAGTTTGTTACATTATTAATTTCCCTATTCATCTTCCCTAAAGTATCCCAGTAATGTTTCAAGTTGTTCTTAATGACTTCTGGGTTTATTGTTATGTTGTTACTTTTGGTTAAAATGTCATAAATGCATTTTTGGTTAGCATGATTTTCAAAACCATTCAAATTTTCCCAAAACAATGTTGATAGCCTCCCCCTTTTAGCTATGTCTATGCTATGTTTAACTTTAAATTCTATTATTTTTATCAATATATAAACCATAGTTTATCCACTTTCCCCCTTGATTTACAGATGTATTTGCAAAACGTTTGTATTATCTACATGCTTCTTTCTTGTATGTATGGTATCTTCTATCTGTTTATCACACACCCCCCTTTGCTTCTATTATTGACACGTTTCTTTCAAATACATTTGTTTGCAACTCTAATTAGACTAGTCTTCCAATCAAGTCATGATATGTTTACATCTTTTCCCCAAATATGTTTGGCAGCAAATTCACCAGTAATCCGTGACATATGGTGGCCATTCGTTTATTTTATTGCACGGTGCATTAAAAAAAGCTTGAGATTATGACAAAATGTTGAATTCCAAATGTTGACAACGATGCACAGGTTTTCAAAAACACCAATATTTTGCTGTTTTATTTAGTACAACAAAACAAACATATACACTTTTGTAATTAATGCCAACCTGACAATAGACTTATAAGAAATGACTGAAAATACGAATCTAATGACGGTGAATTATGATATATTGAATGCAAATTGTTCAACACGAAAATTTGCTTCCAATTTCTCAATTTCGCAGCAGGTCTGTTATGAAAAGTTCGTCAAGATCACAAAGACGTCGATGGATACAATGTAAGCGTCAGAAGAGTAGAACATAATATCATTGGTTCATACTTTAATTGTGAAATTGTCTATTGGTTCCATTGGTTAAAAGTTGAAATCACGTCCACCAATGAGTGCAAAGTGTATATTCCCACGAAGTCACGTGCTGTGGCGCGTAACCACCAATGTCAGCCTCGCTCTGGTCGATAACAACGCCGGCTCTGTTTAGTTTTTATACACATATGAAAACAGGACCACTGTTGTTTACACGTGTGAACATGGTATTAATCTTCTTTAACTTTGACGTGTCGATATCCCATGATGCTCACATGTATGTCAGTGCTGATCACTCTTCTCCATGATACCAGACAATAATTGCGAAAAAGTATATCTTACACTGTAAAAAATCGTTTTGTCCATGCGCACAATAATTGTGAAGATGTAATGTAATATTCATACATTTTTATTTATTTATCGGTATGTATGATCACGTGATAGACCCACTCGGTGTATTGAAGTACACACATAAATGAATCGCTAACCGGTTCAATAACCAAATAAAAACCTTAGCTCGAACCTTCAGTTTACTATCCTTGAGAACCGTGTAATATCGACAGAGATTTCTATGCCCTTCGATCTGGAAAGTTATATCTCGACATGTAATCAACCATACTATAACATCATCATAACAAATTGCAAATTGTCTTTATTGTTTTTGACTTGTTTTATTTATTTTTAGAAAAGTTTTTATTTTTGTTTTCTTTTTTAGATTGTATTTTTTTTTAATTTCTTTCTGTAAGACCCTTTTTATCCTTTCCTAAGGATTTTATGCGTCTAATAAAAAAATAAATAAAATAAATAAATAACACGTTTCGAATATATTTCATCATACCATATACTAAACACAAATACTGTCCGGTGTCATGACAACAACATGGATGCCGCCTTGAAAGAAATCGAAGGACTATCTGCGCTATATTTGTATAGTAAGCTCGCATCGTGCAGTACACGTATGTTGTAAAGCGCAAATTAGATGCACTGTACACCACGAGTGCATATAAAGTACAGTATTCAATGGATTTATCCGATTTATTGTTTCCGTTGAAAGCAAGAAATGTCGATATAGACTCCACCCTGGAACACTTTTGTTACACGGACCAAGGTTCGAGTGACACGCACACGCCTTGACTAATAAATAACCCGACCTTTCCCTTCTTCCTCATGGTAATTTAACGGATGTTCTAGAAGACGTACTACGCGGTGACCCGTCCAGCCGACCTTGAATCTATGTATCCACTTGCTCGTATCCGAGTGACCTTTTACAAATGAACTAAGTATTGTATTTTCCCTGTATAGCAAGGGAATTCCGTCGGAAAACCCGATGTATGTGACGGTAAATTCGCAGAAATTTACATTGGAATGATATTAATTAGCACCAGCCTACTATTAAATGCTGAAATACAAAGTGCTAGGTCAGCATCTTACTCTTAGATAACGAAAGTGCTGATGGTGCACTTTTTTTTTTATTACGGACAGTATCCATGTTTACGTCACACTTCAGTGCCCGCCCACATTTCCTTACTAAACATGACAATAAGTACTGTATGTAATACAATATCAAGTAAAATAAACGGCTTATGTACATATGAACGTACCAACCCACATGCATTGGTCCGGCTGGACCCCACACGAAGGAAAATCGTTATTGGGGACGTCTGTGGTTAGGGTTAGTATAACCACGGTTACTAAAATTTAAAAAAAAACAAAAAAACAAAAAACTTTTTTCAGTAACAGACTGAATGGCGTCGATGACAAAAATAAACTATTAAGTCTAAATATCAAAGATGGAAGTTCGCGTTCTGTTCGACGTGGGACTCATAGCGACGTGTACAACGCGTGTGAAATTCGAACATGAAATTCGAACACGCGGTGCGCGACGACCACTAAATGTTTAATAGTATAGATAAAGATGTGGTGCACAGAGTTGTCAAAAATGATTTATTATTAGTATACCATACTATTGCAGGTACAGGATATTATCCATGGAACAGCACAATTACAATGAAAAAATGTCTAATATGTGTTGTATTCTCAGTGTTTACATTGGTTGTCATGGAGGAACGCCATCCTAGATTCAAATACAACAGCGGGATAGGCGATGGATTTTCGACTCACGAACATGTGTGGACGAGGCGAACATATGGTGCAAGTAAGGCATCGCTGAGGCACAGCGTTCAGTTTAATGTCGTTATATTGTTCATCTCAGTTGGCCATTCGTGCACTTTGAAAATATCACGCACACATCAGAAACGTGAATATGACCGACCCGATTCTGTCTTACACGCGACATGTCCGCACGCGTTGAAAAATTATCATAAATTATGCAAAATCCAACTGTGTTATTGGCGGATATGTAATCATTGCTAAAAATAACCAAGACTTCGTCCACTGATTGGATAGAAATGATGTAGTCTGTATACTTTTAGATATGACGTCAGGGGAGCTATATAAGCTCGGGCCAAGCAGCCATTTTCTGTTGTTGCCGATCTCGCTAAATCCTCCACTTGTGTGCTCGGTTTTGCCCTTGAACCGACGCATATTTCAACCATATACCATCAGCTGATCGACTTTATTTCAAGTCTAACAGTGAAACAACATCTCTCAGTTTGCCTGACCAGCTCTGGAAGAAAAACATCGCCGTCATAAGGTTATACCAGAAACTTCTGTGACAATATACGTACCGGTGCGGTGAGCTGATCTAATTGCGCAACTTAGTTTAACACTGCGATTCCTCAGCGGACAAGCGGCGAAGTTTAGCGGCAACCATTTTCACCCCGACGTAACTCTTTCCCTCTCTTATGGATGTGTTTAAGCCTAACATGGAAAACATGGCCATAGAATATATCGACTCCTTCGATCTTCTGCAGTTCCCAATCAAACAGGAAGGCGCCGACGAGTTCTCAGGTATCTCCTGCTCAGGTGGCATCGAGTTGTCCGCCCCGCTCACCCCGGCGGACTCTGCATCATCGTCCTGCAGCGGCAGTATACCACCGTCCCCTGCTGTTTTTTCGGGCTCGGAGGATGCGAAGTTTTCGTTCGACGAGTTGTGCTGGTTGACGAATAACCAAATGCTCAGCTTTACACCAGAAGTGGCCGTCCATTCACAGGTCAACGCTAACACCGATAATGAAAAGCGTGACAATTGCGACGGCTCTTTATCATCCAACAGTCTGCTGAACAAATTCTCCGACGAGAAGCTAGTGAAAACTAGTGTTCGAGAACTCAATCGCCAACTCCGTGGTTACAATAAAGAAGAGGTTAATCAACTGAAGCAAAAACGCAGAACACTAAAAAATCGTGGTTACGCGCAGAGCTGTCGTACTAAGCGAGTGTATCAACGGGAACTACTCGAACACACGAAATCGTCCCTGGAGCTGGAAGTCATTGAGCTTCGCAAACGAATCGCATCGGTGACGAAGGAACGGGACTTATACCAACATAAATACCAGGCTCTACAGAATGAGCTTCGAAATAACGAAGGAATCAACCCCAGCTCACCAGAATTCTACATGTAAGTGACCGTAAACGTGCGACATACTATGTAACTACGAAATAGTTATTTATTGTGTGAAACCAGAGTATGAACGACAACTAGACTGATCGAATACACGACAAAACGTCGATTTTATTGTGACACCATCGAACTGACCCATTAATTCAAAGAATTATTCAAAGGTCACCTGCCTATACTGCCGATATCACGAAGAGAACATACTGGTGTGCCGGACTTTAAACTTTGGACATTATTCGCCATTGTGAGCGCAAACCCTCCATGTGTCAGATAAGTGAGGCTAAATAACAATGGTTGTATTAAATATGGCGTGACATCAGCACAATACTACGGTATTCTATTTGTTTCATATTTAACATGAAATGTTGGAAAAATATTATAAAAACGTATAATAACATACTTACCAGTTCTAAAAATCATAAAAAAAGCACTTTGTGTGATGTGGAAACCCCCACTGTGATATATTTTGTAATGTCATTTATTTTATTGTCTGCGAAGGTTTACCATATGTTTGTCACAGTTAATTTTGAAAACCAAAAAAATATTTTTATTTTGAGAATGAATTAGACATAAAAACAAATATTATTTAAATGAGCCAATTTAATAATTATTATTGTTTGAATGACAATGTGTTCCTATTTAACCATGTTTTTTTTCGAATTTTCCACATTTTAGCTGCAGTTAAATATGCAACCTTTGACCTTTGTGCTTCGTAATTATCATCTTTTGGCAGACATATCACCTGTTTGGTGACCTCTTTTTGAAAATGTTACATTCAACTATGTAAACGTTATTTTTATTTAAATTAAATGTTGAGAAAGAAAAAAAAGAAACTAAAGTAACAAAAACCGGTTTTAACAAAACCGTGTATGTATAGGACTGACCTCCCGGACCTAACTTACCAAAGTCAGACAAAAAACAAACTTGAAAAAGGGCAAAACAAGTTTTGAGAAGGTAAACAAAATAAAAACTAAGAAAAAACACAACTAAAGTATAAGCAAAAAAGAAAAAAAAGCGGAAACAACCACTTATATAAAAGGGTAAAAAAACCAAAAAAAAAAAAAAAAAAATAAAGCAAAAACAAAAAAATGGAAAAAAAGAAACTGAAAAAAATATAGACTTGAGCATATAAAATGAGCTGAAACAGCGTGGAGGTTGTTTCAGCTCTTTCCGGCGCTCTAGTCTCAATTTTGTCAGAACTGGCGATGTAATATTCGTCATAACTTCATGCATAAAAAAAGTCTCAGGCTTTTTTTGGTCCTCTCACTGCCTTCTACATAACCTGTTTGTAGGTTTACCTAGAGGGCTCTGAGAGATAGATTTTTAAACAGTGTATATAATAATAAATATGAGATCATTTTACTGTTATGTGTAATTTGATAGATTTCACCATCAGAGATCCATTTTGGGGTCTTTTATTTATGTCTCCAACCCTTGATGGGGAAGAGAGCAAAAAACAAACAAACTACGATACCTCATCAAGGTTGAACATCATATAATTTTCTTTTTTTCTTTATGTGTTGATCACTGGAATTATATAATGTATGACAAAGATTATTGTATTTGGCCTGCATAATTTTTAGTTGTATGTTTTGTTTCCTGGCACATAGTTTGGATGAAATGAAACAAATTGTGGATATATGTTGTATAACTATAACAGACAGCACTATTGGTTTCAGGACAAACACATTTTCAAGTCCAGAAAATGTAATAAAAAAAAACAAGTTCTTTATTGTGTGTGTTTTTCATGTGTTTATTTTCACCACTTCTTGAAAGGAAACAAAACATACAATTAACGTGGCCTTTTCCTTTGACTTATAGGGGTTTATTCTGGGTCCTTATTATGTCATTCTTACCTGTAGTTATTGTAGTACATGTATTTTTGCTATTTACTCCAGTGGTATATCAAACTACATGTACGCAGAGAAAAATATTGTAGAATTAAACAGCATCAGAAAATGAATTTCTCTCGAGTACGTGGTCGTCATTGTGTATGATAGTAATTTTAAGTGATGTTTGGAATTGACTGCAACTATACATTATTCCAGTTGCCATTCCTGCCGTATCAACATTCCAGTTGAAGGCTTTCCCTCAACAATTGCATTCAAACTTCACACACACACACACACACACACACACAAGTCCTGGATACGCATACATGTCCATCAGTTTCACGTTCTGAATCAAAATGGCAGCCATTTGTCTTGCTGTTATTCATCAAAATCAAGCATTTCTGTCATTTCAGTTGAATTTCGGTTTTGTTCAAACTTGGACATTATGCCATGATAGGACCTTGATGAATGTCATTTTGTTTTTCAGAACATATCTTTGACACGCCCTATATATTGCAGGTACTTGTTTTTTAAGTACAATGTGAGCACTTTGTGAATTACTGGTGTATTATACTGTCACATGAGGTCAGCACTGCAGGGTAATAATCAATACAGCAAATCGCGCGAGTGATCCAATACTGCCTCTATAACCCCACTCCCAGTTTCAATTGTTGTAGAAACCGTTTCCATGGCGATCGAATCATCTCCTTAATATTTACTGAGTACTTAACTGTGATCACGCAGTATTTAGTGGTTATAAATGCCAAGCAAGCAAGGGTATTTTGCTGCGGATATAAAACCTCTCTGGGTAAAATTTGCATATTTGACGGGAGATAATAACCAACTGTGAGCAGTGTACTGTAAATAACTTTATTTTCGCTCGGAATTTATTTTCGCTGAAGACAAAATCAGTGAAAATAAGTTCTTACAAATCACCCAAAAATTAATTCCAGCTAAAATAAAGTATTTTACAGTACTTTACTTTCACACAAATAGCAGATAAAAATAAATATGATCACTTAAGGTAGAGATGCAGTTTACCTGACAGGTATTTTAATTAGTTAATTAGGAAACCAAGACGACCTTCCTTGTCCACAAAACTATATATTTTCGGAAAGCTTATTGTATGAATTTTAAAATTTTGTTAGTATTTTTTTTTTATGGAAACTGTAGTTTGAAATATGCACAAAAATGTGCTTTTTTTGTCAAAAGAGATTTAAAATTAGCTCCTAAACCATGCTTCTGTTTCATGTCAAAATTGGTTTGCGGGTACATCTGTTTACTATGAAGAAAGTGCCGTCTTGAAAACTGTCTACCAGTTGTCAATTTTGCAGGGCAGCAGCCCAAATTTCACTACTTCAAGTTTATGCATAAATTAACACCCAGGCTAGTTGTTTGTATGATTGTTGTAACACTGTTCAACCAAAAACAATGTCCCAACGGCGTTTTGAAGATGTACACATTGTCAATCATTCGTGAAAATTTCAAAACAAAAGGTCAAAGCTATTTTTTTTTTAAAGTTCTGGGATGTGCAATAAAAAGAAGCTGAGATAATTGCTAATTTGCATAACAATTCACTCAGTAAGAAGTTTGCTAATGCTCATAATTAAAATGGCTGTAACAGTTCCAAATTTAAATGTATTATCGTTTTGTTAAAAGTTAAATATAGTACATAATATGAAGATCCCGTCATTTCTTTTTTTTCACCATGTTTCTTTTTTATTATTAGTGTACAGCCTTGCTAAATCTTGCTAAGCATTCAAAAGAGATAATGTTTGCACCTGTTATCTATATTTTAAAATCGTTTTTTGAGTATGTTCCACTATTCACAATTCTACAAAATTTTAACAGTCTATAGCCAAGACTGTTTGGATAATAAAAAGCAAAAAAAAAAAAATTTCACTCCCAAGTGCCCACAAACCTGCATCTCTACCTTAAGCACATGGTTTGATTTTTATAAGAAATTTACATAAAACATCCATGAAAACAGTCATTTTCGAGCAATATAATGTTTAACATGGTTTCCTAGATTTCATTTATCTCCAGAAAAAGAATTTGTTGAGAAAAAACCCAAAAAACATCAAATGTTGATGGTATCTATAATATTAATAATTATTTAACATTTTTGAAACAACTTTAAGTCAGGGTATGATGCCAGTACGAGGAGCGGGGGGGGGGGGGGGTAATATCTCATTTCGGAGTGGGGCATACTGCACTGATTCTAAGTTAGGTTAGGTGAAATTTACACCGGTTCTGGTGATGTGATTGATATTATGTGATGAAATATACCCAACTGACATACTTTAAACATATAAATGTATTTCATAAACAAGGTTAAAACGACTGCATGATTAAAACCGCTCCATCTGTTACAGTTTACAGATTTTTATATATTCATACCGATTATTCCTATTCAACTCACAATCATAATAGTTTTCAAGGTTTAGACAATACTTATGAAAGCGAGTTATTGCATATTTTTTTCCTTATCTGATAATTATCTAACTATAAAACAAACGGAAGTTTCATGCTGTTTAATGTCGCTCTATAACTTAGATTATTAAATGTTTTGATCGATTTTAGACACATCAAGACTTGGGTCAGGTTCTAGATATTGTAAATTGTCCATGACTTGCCCATGCATTACATTTCACGCCACTAAAAAAACTAAAGTTTAGAGGTAAAATCTAGGCCAGACAAGGCCCTGCTTTGTTTGACTACAAGCTCCATGCCTATTACAATAAGACCAAACATAAACTAACTCAAAGTTTTGCAACCATAAAAACAGCATTTGTAATATGTTATATATTTGATGAAACAAATGCAGAGTTTTAAGTGCTTTTTCATTTTTGATTGGGCAAACAACAATTGTGTCTAACAAAACAACATAAATAAACACATCTCAAAAGCATAAGAAAACTATAAATATAGTAATACATTGACAGAAATGTAAAGGAAGTAGTAGTATACTTCATATATGTATTTTGTTTTGTTCATTTTTTTGGATTGAAAAATATGAAGTTTTCGGAATAATATGGGCTGAATTTCCCAGCATGCTTTGCAGATTATACATTTTACTGTGCTTTTTTTTTTAGTGAAATAATTATCTCTTTGTATTTATTTTAACAACTGTGCACTCATGATTATACATTTCCCACCATATACACATACTGACCTGTGCATATGTGACATATTTCACAGGTTGAATTGGGCAAGTAAACAAAGGCTACAATGTATTGTCAGTTTTTAACATGTGCTTTTCATTTATTTTTACTTGCTATTTATTTATTAAAATCATAAGCTTTTTTATATTATGGGAAGTACATCAATTGAGAGTAATTGTTATTTCAGCCATTGTATCTCACTGGAAATAGTTAAAATAGATTTTTATGGTGAAGCAAGTGTGATTTCATAGATATGGAACATTTACATGATACAAAGAGTGAAAATGATAAAATCATTGAAAATATGCGGGTTAGAATTAGTGAGATCTGAGGAAATTAAGATAAAAGTAAAAATACCAGTATAGAAAATATATAGGTAAGCAGCTGTAGTGATACAAATATCATAATCATGGCTGATTTAGGGGTGAACCATTTATAATCATGGTGAGGCTTGGAGTAGTCATATTTGCTTGTAATGCCATGTACTTTAACCCCCCGCGATTTCATATAGGTCACCCCTTTGTCACGCACACTGGGGTATAATCTTATACCAGTAATACAGAATTCAAACTCTGCAGTTGTGAATGAATTAATAAAGCACCACAGGAACATCAATGTGTCACAGCACCCTGAGTGATATTCACATAGAAAAGATTATACAGATAAGAATGCCGACAGAAAAGTCCCCATTTTGAGGCAAAAGTGTATAAATATAATGCTCAACATTTGCTCAAAAGCTTTGTTAAAAAAAATAAAAATGTTAATTATTGGTAGGAAAAAATGGCGCATGTAATTTATCACTAGTGTCAAAAAAAAAGAACTTGCTCTGTGAAGGGTTGTGTATATCTTTTTTTTATAACCTTCTTGAAAAAGGTACAGGTGTGGAGGTACCCGGTGGGGGGAGGGGGGAGTTTACTGATGTCACATCTCCAACACTTATGTACTCTCAGTACTACCTAAATAATAATAAATGCCACTAATTGTAATGACAGTTTATGAATTTAAGTAATTTATATCGAGATATATACTTTAGAAATAAACATTTTTATAAATATTCAGACATTTCACAATTCAAATTGAGATGAGAGTTTTCTATTGGCAGATTGAATAACATTAGAACATTTTTAAATGATGTCATGCTTGTTGATTGGCTGGTTGGATTCAACCAGCATGCACTGTAAATCATTTTGAAGACACATTTTGCAAGAATCTTTGAAGTTGTGAAACAATAGCAGCTGAGACAAAGCATATATACAAGGTATTGAAAAAACACCTGTCACAAACAAGCTGCTCTCTGATTGGTCAGACTGTCAAGTGTCAGGGTTGGGTAGCCAATCAGGCACTGTATCTTGTAAAGCTTTACACTGACTAAAAATAACACTTTCTGTAGCAAGAGTCAATGAGTTTGGTGCTATTTCTCCTTGCTGAAGCCCCCTCCACCTCAAATGAGGTAAACTTGGAGTGGCAAGGGGGGATAGCTGATACAGGTTACAGGAAATAAAAACGACATTTTACATTTTAACAGGAAATAAAATTAAAGTTCCCTTTACAGTAAAAAATGGGTTTTTACACTTTTACAGATAAAGAAAATTCCTAATTACATTTTATATTTTTATAATATTTTTGATAATTTGTGTTTAAGAATCATAATTGGAAATTGCATATGAATTACAACTTTTAATTTGGAAAATGCTTTACATGCTTACAAATAATAAGATTTTTCTACAAATTACGGACGAATAAAATAGCTGATTACATTTTACATCTTGCCCATGTCTACGAATTATACGTTTTTTATTTATTTAAATAACATTTTTACAAAAATAAAAGCAATTGATTACAGCTTATGAAAATACTTCTTGCCGACCCTCTCTACAAAACTACAATATGAATTTTTGGTATGTTTTAGAAGTACAATGAACCTTTATTTCATATTGACATAAATTGTTGGGAACATCAACATGTGCTTCCGAGTCTATCAATTTATTTGTGTTAGATTATTGGTATATTTAGCAACTGCATGTGGGAAAAACATGTTAATCATGTGACATCAGACATAATTTATCTCCAAAATCGAAGACAAATGTGAGATTTGCCCAACATTTTGCAGCCAGCGTAGAAGGGCTCATTAACTTTTTCCCCACCAGTTCCCTCTTCTTATCACAAAATAGTCCAGTTTATAGTCTGCACTTTCCTTCAGACGATTAGGACAAAAATAGACAAATACTTTGAGTAAAAACTGAAAATTTACTCAAATTTTCTCTGTTGGCTCCAAAATTAGGATTCATTTCCAGAAATATTGAAGAATATAAGAAGAATGTGCAGACAAATTTGAACGAGAAAGTCTGGCACTGAATATTGGATAGTAAATCGATCACTGTCTTAACCTCACTGTTATTTACCAGTAACAAAAACACTAGTTCAGTACAAACCAAACTTTACCTAAAACATATATGACAAAAAAGATATTTTGGAACACATGTTCTCTGTTCAACTTGCTCGTTCTGGTCATGTCCGGAAAGATACATTCAAACAAGTAGTTTCTTTTTTAACTGGCATGTCAAACAAATGATATATGCTATAACATTAAACAGTGACAGGGATGACACAAAGGCTCTTTAATAAAAATACAAAAAATGAAGAGACAATGTCCACTCCACTGACATATGCACAACAGCTCACCAGTCTGTGATTG